AGAAGTAACTAATTCTATAACTTATCAACTAGGGAAATAATACAAATGTACATAGAATTAGATTCAAAACTAGAAGTAACTAATTCTATAACTTATCAACTAGGGAAATAATACAAATGTACATAGAATTAGATTCAAAACCAGAAGTAACTAATTCTATAAAAAATAATTATGGCGGTGATCCCCTTCCATACTAGTAATGCTTATCTATCTACTGATGATAATTTATTTATTCTCTCAAAAGTTAAAAACAACATTTCTGCTACTAATAGATTTAATTAGAATTAGGACTGTTTTCATTGCCTTTTATATCTTTTTAATATAATTTTTTACATTTTTTATAGGTTATTTATTCATTCAATAAGCTTTTTGAGTAAGGGCTTGTGTGTGTATGTGTGTGTGCGCGAATGCGTATTTATATATATGTGTGTGTGAGGGTGTGTGTATGTGTGTTATGGAGTGTGGTCTGAGTGTACAAACATATATATGATATGCTAAGGAAGTTTTCAATTGTCATCAAATAATGTTTCTTATCTTTTTTATAATTGTAACTTGGTTGAATGTTCTAGCCTATATGTTTGTAAGTGTATGAGTGTGTCTTGTTGAGCTATGTATTAAATTTACGTTTTCTGTCCATCTATACCGGTTAGGAAAGACTGATATAGGCTAAGCCTGTTGTCTCATCCAAATATTCAATTGTGTTGTCCAATAAAATTTGTTGAAATAGACGTTCGGATAAAATGTGGAATTACCCCAAAAGCAAGAATGTCTCAAAGGACTCATGTAGATTTTTGCACTTTAAAAGTTGTTCTGCATCCAAAACAGGTAGAATTTTGAAGATATCTCGTTGGCTATTTTTTTTAAAAATATTATATATATTATGTTTAATGATACCTACATGTCTCATAGGACTCATGTAGATTTTTTGCACTTTAAAAGTTGTTCTGCATCCAAAACAGTTGAAATTTTGAAGATATCTCGTTTGCTATTTTTTTTGAAATATTATATATATAATGTTTAATGATATCTACATGTATAACGTTAAATTCTCCCATATCCCTGCTGTTACGTACTCATCGGAAATTGCTCTGTATCTACATTCTGTTTACATTTTTTTTTTTTTAATTTTAAATTGTAATAAACAAATATAATGGCATATTCAAATTTTACCTAAAGGTTCTTCCTCCCTGGTTCGTAAAGGTTAAATTTACCACTTTTGATACTAAGTATTTAGAATCTGTCACTAGTTTTGATAACAATATGTACATTTCTAAATGCTGCCACGTTCGGGTCTACGGGTAAATGGTGTTTACTACAAAGAAGTGAGATCAATATTATCGTCAATTTCGATATCTTGTGTATGTTTAAACTTTGACACTGTATGCGCCATTGACGAATAAAGTTTGTACATTTGTACGTACATCATTTTTACTTATTTTTTGTTCACGACGTTCGCACTTTTTTAGCCTTTTATTGTAGAATAGGAAGCAAATTTCGTAGTGTAATATAGGAACTCATTCAGGGTACACTCTAGCAATGATCAACTAACTATAGCTTACTAATTAACTAAGTCTTGTTAACTATAAGCAATGGCTTCATTAGGGGTGAATATAATGTTATGCACAAATAAGGATTTATCTAAACGTGAAAATGACATGCTTAGTACCTCTGAAAATAGCCAGCATTTACCTCCGAATATCGACCAATGTCCAAGTTTACGTATGAAGGGACTACACATTCGGTTGAAATCAAGCATTAATATGATTTTTATTCCGGATTCTTATATTTATTTCATTGTTTCGTCATTGGTTACTATATCCTTTGCAAGTGTTGAAAGTGTTTATGAGACACGAATTAAAAGGATATGACACGATTAGGAAGTTGACATTTGATTAACCAGCCAGGCTTATAATAAGCAAAATATTGCCGGAAATAAACCTCGACAGCAGAGGTTGTCAGCAACATGAGGATTGTTCAATGGAGCAAACTTGGGCAGTAGTCTTAAGAGGATACATTTGCTCCATACCACTTAAAGGATGTGTCGTCTGCTCGTTGGCAAACTTTGCCTTTGACTTGGTGCTTGAGACGTCTTGGTGGTTAAAAAATCTCTGAGAAGGAAAGAGGTAAGATTTACCTTTTTTTATCAATCGGACCTTACCCTCCTCCTTACTCTCCTCTGGGTTACCAGATACAAGTACATGTATGTACATATATATATATATATGTATAACCTTATGGTTATCGTAATACACGCTCTGATTTTTAGATGTCTTTCTTTACCTTAATACGCGTCCTTGTCCCACACGAATAATTTACCCGAATCTAGGGAGATTGGACTAAGGGAGGTAACTCGTAATTTGGTACAAGCATATTTTGTATTATCTTTCATCAAGTTCTTACTATTTGTCCACTGTTAATGTTCCTAATAATCTTTTTCACTTTCCTTGATGTCCTTTTCGCGATACCTTAATTTTCACGCACTGTATGCTAGTGTATACATTATAGATAGGTTTTAGGACTGAAACGATACGCCGTCCTCACGATACGATACATATATCGCGGTACGATACCATACATATCACGGTACACAAATCTGCTAAAAAAAGGCAATTAAGTATGTGTTCATGGTGTTAAATAATACTCATTATGAAAATATGTTGTATGAATTTTTGGGGGTACTATTGGACATGATAGCGCAGTGACCCTCATATAGTACTTACTGAAGGGTTAAACAAAAATGTAGTACATCTATTAAAAAGTCTAATAAGACATTGGTTGACGATACAGACAAGGAAAACCAATAAATAAAATCTTTATTTATTT